CTAAGGCGAAGGAGGTTACGGACAAGATCAAGGCCGAGGTCCCCGGCGCGAACATCCGGTTCGTCCAGATAGACATAGGCTCCTTTGCGTCCGTCCGTACGGCCGCCAAGCAGATCCTCGACGGCGCCGATCGGCTCGATATCCTGCTCCTCAACGCCGGCATCATGGGAGTCCCCGCAGCTACCACCGACGAGGGCTACGAGATCCAGTTTGGTACCAACCACATGGGCCACGCGCTCTTGACCAAGCTGCTCCAGCCCTTACTCCTCAAGACGGCGGAGCAGCACGGCGACGCCCGCGTCGTGTTCGTCTCTTCGGCTGCCCATGCCTTTGGGCCGCCCGAGGGCATCATCTTTGACGCGCTTAAAACGACAGGCGAAGCGATGACCGGGAGAGCCCGTTATGGCCAAAGCAAGCTCGCCAACGCGCTGTACGCGAGGGAGCTCGCGCGGCACAACCCGCAGCTCACGGCCGTGTCGCTGCACCCGGGCGTCGTCAGGACCAACCTCGCCGCCACACTGCTGGACGGCAACTGGTTCGCGGGCGCTGTGATTGTCTTCCTCTCTATGGTTATCGGCGTCGACGTACCCACGGGCACGCTGAACCAACTCTGGGCGTCGACGGCGAAGGCAAAGGATATCGTGTCCGGCACGTACTATGAGCCGATCGGCGTCACGGGGCGCGGGAAGCCCCAGATCTACGACCAGGCGCTCGCGGAGAAGCTGTGGGAGTGGACGGAGAAGGAGCTCGAGGGGCAGACGGTCGGCTGAGAAGGGTGGAATGGGTTGATGTGATCTCTCGGCGTTCGAGCGACAACTGGTTTTACACGCAAAAATAATATGCACTCACACATGCTTACGTCTCTGGTGCATTCTATGTCTGCGATGTGCGTATTGTTTAAGATGATTTCATAGTCTTGGGCAGGGAAGACCTCACCGAGCAACGTCCAGCCGCTCAGACACCAGTCCACGTGAACCCCTTGTCTAGGGTAAGGTCGACACTGTGCGTAATGTCCGCGCTCGAAAGCCCGACGAGCACCTTGTACGCTCCCGGCCGCGCCTCCCAGCACATCCGCGCCGCGTCGTAGCAGCTCACGCAGTCCCTGTCCAGCGTCAGGACGACGTCCCTCACCTCGCCGGCCTCGAGCGCGACCTTTTCAAAGGCCCGCAGCTCCTTGGGCGGCCTGGCGTGGCCACCGCCGCCGCCGCCACCGCCGATGGCCGCATCACCGCTGTTGCAGTCGGCGACGTAGAACTGCACGGCGACTTTGCCCGCGCGGCCGCCGGTGTTCTGCACCCTCGCTGTCACCGTGATGCCGATGTTCGCGTCAGCGGCCGCGAACAGGACGCGCTGCTGCGTGATGCCGGCGCCCAGCACGGCAAAGGTCGTGTACGACAGCCCGTAGCCGAACGGGAACAGCGGCTTGGCGGCGACGTCTGCCCGGTCATAGTATCGGTATCCAACATTCAGCGCTTCCTCGTAGCGGAGGATGTTGTTGTGCGAGGGGAAATTGTCATAGGCCGGGTTGTCCTCGACCTTTCTGGGCCACGACAGCGGCAGCCGCCCGCCCGGGTTCACGTCCCCCGAGAGCACGGCGGCGACCGAGTCGCCCATCTCCTGGCCCGGGAACCACGCCTGCACAATGGCCGGGCTGCGGTCGGCAAACTGCGCCATCCCGACGGGCGCGCCCGAGAAGTTGACCACGGCGGACCGGTCCGGGTTGGCCGCGAGCACGGCGTCGACCATGTCGTACTCGGCCGCCGTCAGGTCCATGTCGGTCCGGTCGAACCCTTCCGACTCGATCTCGTTGATCGTGCCGGTGCACACGACGGCGTAGTCGCACGCCGCCGCGGCCTCTGAGGCCTCGCGCAGCCGCGCCGCGAGATCAATATGCTCGTAGAACCGTACCGCGCTGCCCTGGAACATCTTGCCGTTGAGCGGCGGCGCGTCGAGGATGGCCCGGTCCGCCGCCCACGAGTCCATGCGGACCGAGTAACGCCTGCCCGCGGTCATCTCGTGGGTGAAGCGGCGCTCGAGCTGGCGCTTATAGAAATAAAAGGACTCGGGCTTGAGCTTGGTCTCCTGCGGGCGCTCAAAGACCTGGACGCCGTCGATGTAGACGACCGCCCTGCCCGTGCTGATGGCGGAGAAGAGGTGCTGGCCCGAGGACGGGGCGACGAGGTCAAAGGTGATGCGCGTGCAGTAGTCCTTGTCGAGGTGGCCGGGCCAGCGCTCCTTGATCATGTACTCGGCCTGCGGCCGCATCTCCTGGAACGACGGGTTCTCTCCGATCGTCGGCCCGTTGAACCACTCGATCTTGACGGGTGCTGGAGTGTGTTCGGTGTTGCCAACCTCGAACACCGCGGACGGGTCGGCATGGGGGACTATGCAGGCTTAGCACCAGCGATGTGTGTTTGGAATATTTCATGTTTCGGGTGACTCACCTACTCCAAACACCGGAACCCCCGCGGCTACTTTGACGTCGTAGCCCAGCATTGGCAGTCCGTCTACAAGTGTTATCGCATGCTGCGCGTCGACCCGGGCGCTCCCGCCACCGCCGAGAACGACCGACGTAGCATGCTGGCCTATTATGGCCACGGTGGCAGTCTTGGTGATCGGGAGGACGCCGCCCTCGTTCCTCAGCAACGCGATGCCGTCCGCCCCGGCGTCTCGGATCAGCGCGTTAGTCGCGGGATCTTCGACACATCGCTCCGGCGGCTCCTCCGGGTTGTCCCAACGCCCGAGACGCCTGGCGAGCTCCAGGACACGCCGGGCGCTCGTGTTGATCGTCTCTTCTGTGACGGCACCCTTCCGGATCTGCTCCTTGACTTCCCCCACCGATCTCCATTTCGTCGGGCCGGGCATCTCGAGATCCTGACCGGCCTCGAGGCCACGGGCTGTCGAGTATGTGCCCATCCAGTCCGACATGACGAGTCCCTTGAAGCCCCATTCCTTGCGGAGGACCTGACCATCATTCACAGGCAGTTTGTGTCCAGTTGGCGCGTCTCTGCCATAGAACAGGGGCCAAACGCTCGGGCCATTGCATTCATTCTGAACCCCAAGTGCGCCATACTAGAATTGGCACTTGGACACAAACTTACAGTGGGCAGGGACTCGATGCAAACTGGGGCAGAGCGACGTCGGGCTCGGGAACCGGAAGGAAGACGCCAGGCATGTGAAGAGGTTATGTGAAGTGTTCCTCCAACAGAGCCTATGGTCCAGGGAAGCCTCCCGCGACTGGCGCCTTGCGCTAAATCAGGGCCTGATTCAAGGGCGCTCGGGCCCCGCCGGGCGTGCATGGTTGGCAAGGGTTCGCGATCGTGATTCGAAAGACAATTGGTACAGTTGGCTAACTAGCCACAGCTTCGAACAGGCCCTCGCGCTCTTCGGACGCCCCAAGTCGGTGACCGGCTTCTTCCGGGCCCAGCGGCCCATCGAGAGCGAGGTCGAGCACTCGTTCACCATCAGCCTGCAGTATGACGGGGCCCTTCTGGGCCTGCTCGTCACGGTCAAGACGGCCGTCACGAGCCCTATGGCGCAGCAGCTCAAGCAGCTCGTGCGCGGGACCAAGGGCTCGTTTGTCAAGGTAAGGATTGAACCCTTGTAGAAAGCAGAAGGAACCGCGTGCTGACTTGCCAGTACTTCCAGCAGCGAAGCACCTGTCCCCAGGAGGGGGGAGCAGATCGGCGCTGGTGCTAAGCCCCTCGATGAAGGATTCGGGGTCGAGTCGGAGGCCCTGCGCGGCATCTTGACGACGTACAAGGAGTTCGACCCAAGCGTGCAGAAGCATGACCCTGAGACGAAGAAGTACACCGGGGGGTACCCGACCGTCACGGGACGGTGGATGGGGCTGTAGGAGAACGTGGCGGATGCTATTAACGGCAAGGCCAAGCTGGAGGTCAAGGCGACGCAGTCGAGGATGGCCTGCGGTTTATCGAGCCGGCGAGGGAGTCGTACGATAGGGGTATTACGGTGGCGTGGAGGTAAGGAACTCATTTGTGCATCAAGCCGTTGGATCATGGTCTATAGATCATCATCGCGTCATTAGACTTCATGAGCCTGGATCTGCAGCGTCGCCCTGCGCCGTCTTTCCTTCCGCCTCCCACCAGCTCTTCATGCCCTCAACGTCGCACCAGTCAAACTGGCGCGGCTCCTCGTACCACCACCTCTCCCCCGGCCTCCTGGGCCTGTCGCTGACGTACTTCCTGAGGCTCCCGCCGTCCGCCAGGTGGTTCTTGACGCCGACGAGCAGGATCACGGCGCCAACCCGCGGAGCGAACTCGTCGGGGTCAAGGAACACGGTCAGCAGGACGCGCTTGCCGGTGGAGGGGTCCGCGACGCGCGCCGTGCGCATGGCGTAGGGGGGCACCGGGCACGGCTGGACGTTGTCGAGGGCGCTGACGACCACCAGTGTGTTGATGGACCAGTTCTGCTTGTAGGGCAGGTCGGGGATGGACCGGAGGCGGGTGAGCTTGAGCGGGATGGAGGGATGGGTCTAGTCGCGCGGCAGTGCGGCGGGGCCACGGTGCGCGTAGGCGACAGCTTCTTCCCTGCGTCGAGAGGTTTTGGAGGGCGAGACGACCATGTTCTCGACATCGTCCGGGTCGAGGCCGTCGTCGTCATCGTAGTCGTTGCTTTGTTGCTGGCGAGGCCGATGCTTCGTCGGTGTTGCTTGGCGCGATTGGCGTTCCGCCTGCGCCAGTGCTTCATTGATGCCCTTGAACTCGAGCTGGCTGCTGGGTATCAGGTCGACCTCGTCCTCGACCCCGGCCCGGTCGTCGTGTTGCCCTGCTTGTTCGCCGACTTGCCTGGCAGCCGGGCTCACTTGCGCAAGTTCTGAATGCCACCCGACGGTGACCAGGTCGCCAATGACGAGGTACACCATCTGCAACGGGGCCCCCGATTCGTCGTTGCCGAGTTCCCTGTGCCGGATGTGGAAGGTGTCGAGGCGCACGAAGCAGCCGACATGGACGGCGCTCGCGTCGATGAAGCGGTGCATCTCAGGGCGCAGCAGGGCCTGGATGCACAGGTCGCCGTCGCCGAGGACGAGGCGGACGGCTCGCCATCGCGTCGACCGCGGGAGGGGGGCGATCGTGACGTCCTCGACGAGGAAGATAGAGCCGGGGATGCAGTAGCTGGTGCGGAGGAGCTCGACGATGAGCAGTTTCGGGGTGAAGGGGTCGGACGGGTCGGCGAAGACTATCGGGAGTTCGGGCGGCGCGGGGCCAGGGTCCTTCTGGGCATCTTGGTCGTGGTCGTCGGGAGACACCGGGAGAGGCATGTGGAGGGATACTGTACATGCTTCGGTCAGTCGTCGGAGGGACGGCGGTGTTGAGTTGTTGGTTGGCAGATGGAGCAACCTCAATTGGGATATCGGGGGAACATACCACCGATACCCGATGTGTCTGTCCGAGTTCTTCCGTGTTGATATATCCAGTCAAGACCGCACTTTCATTGGTGGCCCTGACACCCTTGATGTTCTGCCCTGTGCGCGCGGATACAACCTTCCTGAGAGCTTCTTCACACACCTTCTGGAGCTGCTGGTTCGCCTCTCGAAGGAGCTGGAATTCCCCCTGAGCGTCCTGTCTGAGCTTTTCAAGCTCTTCATCTGTTTTCGGCTGCGCCTCCTGATAAAGGGAGACCTCCCGGCATCTTGCGTCGATGTCTCTACCCTCCTCTGTGACACGGGCAATCTCATTTCCAACCTCCTGCTCGAGGGTTTGCAACATCGTCTTCTTCCTATCCTCCATCACGAACCCTTGACGGATTGTCCGCATCCTATCAAATAATATCAGTACCCATCACCCAATGTATGAGCTCACCACCAATGGCGAGGAGGTATGGTCTTACACAGTATCAGTCTGCAACGCCAAGGCGAGCGTCCCCTTGTAGCCAAAGAGTCGTGCTTGGAATGCCTTCGTCCTGCTCTGGCCAAACAGACCAATTCGCCACCTGTCAACCCAAAACATCTTGTCTTCGGTCGAATGCCTTAGCCACCGCTTCAAGAGCGCCTGAAATTGGTCGCACGAAGTGCGGCAATTGTTGACAGCTAAGGCTATGTCTGGCATGGAGCTCATGGCCGGCCCATCCTGGGAACTCCCATCGCCATCTCGTAAGTAAGGCTCCAGCCGATGGAGCACGGATGTCACCGCCTCGAGATCCCTGTGAATGGCTGCAATTTCGCTGGGGACACCCTTGATGTCGTCAATCATCTTCGATAGGGCTTGGGCGCTTTGTAAAGCGGCTGTCAGGACGCCCACCACAGAGGCTGCTGCACTGACGCCGTCCATCATGCTGTATCGGTGCGACATCATTGGATTGGAAAATACACCAGATATCACCATTGTTCATTCTCCACAGCCTCGCCATCCCTTACAGAGATGCGCCCAAGTTCCCGCATTACGTGAGAGTCAATTGCTTGGTCACGCTCATTACTTCAACGTTGTCAGAAGGCACAACCTCGGTCGACCTTGGTGATGATCTTGCTGAGCTATAAGTGTTGCATCACAACCCTAGTCCCCGCCACTTGGCACCACAGAAGACATTGATCAACACCAGGACCACTTCCCGGACAACCCTGTCAAGCCCCACCTATGACAAGCGGACCCCAATCTGGCAGCACTTCATTAACACCTTGAAGTCTCGGTAGCTCACAGTGCTGCGTGGTGACGAGAACTACGACGGTAATTGGAGCTGCCGATGCCTCTTCGATGTATGCCTTAACACTTTTGAGTGCGGCCTCGTCGTGAGGCGCATCGTCCACGACATGATCATAGGCAAGACCGGCATGGCACGGTACCGCGACGAGCTGTTTGCCCCGCAGGAAGGTGGCTTCGTTAACGGTGGGCCGTTCCAGCTCACCCCCTTCCAGGCGTTACTCGTGCCGCGGGGCCGGTGCGTGGAAACCCTTCTCTTCTCGACGTTCCAGCTTCAAACTTACCCGTTAACAATACTTGAATTCCACCACGCTTGCTCATAGAACAGGTCCTTATTCTTCGCGCACAATTTGCGGCATATCATTTACGTGACTTCAATTCCACCCTAATGTTAGATCAGGGTTAGCCGGTTATGATTTTTTATCTCTTCAAGGAGACTTGCGGAGTGCTGCGTATAACAAATTTTCCAAGTGCGGCGAATGAACAACGTTAGCCGTCCGGTAAAATGCCTTCAACAATCCGGCCTGACGATTGATTTTGTTACAGTAGCATTAGCACAGCCTACGTCTACTGATGAGCCTCTGATTTGTGTGAAAGGCGGAAGGCCTAGCTCTACTTATGGTTCCAGGTATGATTGAAACATGTGGCCCCAACTCTTGCGCATGTGAGACAGAAACCAGGTACCACTACCATCATTCAGCCATAAATTGCCCTGAGCTTCTGCACAGTGTGGACCAACTTCTGCCCAAATGCAAAGATACTAGTCATGACGATGCTTCCATTTTCAAGACTGAATTGGTAAGGGTTCCCCATAACCCCTAGAGTGGCCGTATATCCAGTCTCATTAAGGCCCTGAGGACCCTGAGTAACGAACAGGCTTGAGCCTGACCAAGCCGGTTCTATGATCCCAGTGCCGAACGTCATATCGGCGTCAGTGAACACGGGCCCGTCATCGAGAATCCCGCCACATCCAGAACCGCCGTACTTGAGGACTTTCACGTCTTGACCGCAATACAATTCTCGATCGTATGGGTCAAGACCCATAAATCGAGGCCCGCAAGTGGCAAACGAGGCTCCGTTAAGATGAGCCTGAGCTGCGTCTGGGGTTTGGACGTCCAGATAGCCCAGCCTATCCCCAAGGTTTTCTGTAAGGATAACGATTGCGAATGCACTCTTTCGAATGCGGTCCGCTTTGCTCGACTTTGGAGGACCGTCATAATACTAGGCATCGATCTGCGCATAATACATTAGCTTTCTCCCCGGCCAGCGAGCGGGCACTAAACTGATGTCTAGCTTAGCAAGTGCTAGGATAATTCGTACTTACCTGATAAGGGTTACATTCGTTCACTGCGTCACCCTCAGTAAATGGATAAAACCCGACGATAGGGCTTGGGCCATTCTGCGGTATACATAATGGTGTAGTAAGCACTAGCCGCCGGCCAACTAACATTCCTGTACGTACAGATTTACCTTCTGAAGAAACAAGTGTCCCAATAGCACTGTAAGGATATGCGTTATGCTTATAGCGAACTGGTGGCATCGTGCGTTTTTTGAGGAACGCTGCTAGGTCGGTCATTCCTCCAAAAGATGCTGTGGTGGAAGAGTTTGAAGCATTCGAGACGACAGGCCGTGCTGGAGACCAATCTGTTGGTAGAAGGGTATTGAGAGCGTCTTCGTTAAGAACAAGCGGCGTATCGCCTAGCTCTATGGCATTGCTACAGCGCGATCTTGGGGAGATACCGCTTTGTTCGATACCATCGACGCCACGGAGCCTGGGAACCTTGTGCAAAGCATCGGCGCCATGACAGGTCGAAAATGCTAGCATCGCGTAGAGAATGGCGACTATTGCCACTTGAGCTGGCATCTCTGCGAGTATTTGGTAAAATGGTCTGTTGAGTGAAGACTGCTGTTTTGATTGTGATTTGGGTTAGTGAAAAAGGTTATGTACAGATAGCCGAGTTGGGTACAAGGGATTGAGCTATAATATTGGTTCAAGATCAGATAGAACGCGACGTCGAATCTGGCCGCACCGATCTCTTGACCTTTATCAATGATCCAAGCAGGAAAGCTGGCCGCCAAGACGTATACTCTCATTGTCGGCACATGGCCATGCAATCCTGAGCCATCTGAGTCATTGGACTAAGTCGAGCATGGCTTTGACCGGCCAGATGAAGAATGGTTGTAATTAGATCTCAACCTTGTCTGATCAGCCAGAAAAGGAGCGCGTTAGACACATACAGCCTGACTTCGTATTCAGCTGCAACGCCCGTGCCCATTATCCATGTATCCTTGTTCAGCGTTCTATTCCGGCTCCTCCATGTTTAGATTATGAAATCCTATGGGTAAACTTGGACCAATCATGGTAAGTAGGATCAAACCTAACATGTATATTTTGCAGGCTGAACTGTACTTTCGCTTGTCGTTGATTAAACTGGACATTATACATGTAAAGAAAATCGAGATGAATTCGTCTATACGGAAGAAGACACAGACGCGTAACCGAGATCGAGAAAACTTCATGCGAAGTTTCAGAAACATTACGAAACGGCTTGATGTTCTTCACAAGAAGCACTCAATCAATGTTTACCTCTGTGCTAGGGCTGGTAGATATCTAGAGTACAGATCCTCACCAGACTTTCCCCCGGCAAGATCGGATATCGTAAGTCTTCCCGTTTTACTCTTACTTTACATTGACAAAAAAATCATTTAACGAGACTCTAGGACACTAGCTACCCCACCCCTATAACAAAGGCGTCCGCAGACTTTACGTACGACAGACCAAAGTGAGGTGGATGTATAAAATGTATATAGTCAGACTTTGTCAATATAATGACAAATAGGGAGAATCCTAAATGATCTATGCATGCTCGTTCAATCAGTCATTTCGCCCATCGTGACTTATAGAAAGATTTCTTCCTGAAGACGATAACATCAATTTGCATTAGTTAAGACGGAATGAGAAAGCAATAGCTGGAAAGGAAAACAGGCTTCCATCTCAAGGCGCAACAAGCAAGAGCGGTGAGGGAAACTAAGATCAAGGCATGTGTGATCAGCCACTGCATTTTGTCGTGCTGTGAGACGTCGAGGATTGGGAGATTGTGTAGGTTGAGATAGGGCATGTTCCAGGCGGTCGGGCTATGTCCGTTGAGGAGCACGGGATACAGCAACGCAGGAGAGCTCTTCCATGCATCCGTATCCATGGGAGCAACAAGTTCGACGTAAGATGACTTGCGAGCGATTCGAATCTTGCACCCGGATTCCGCAACCGGGATGGGAAAGTCAAGCTTGAGAGGTACAGCCTTGCCAAGAGACGGCGACATTGCAGGCCGACAGGGAGGCTGATTGTACCCGACAACCACCGGCCAGAGCCGACTTCAGGTCATCGGACTGAATATCGAGGCGACCCGTAACCGAAGTTATTTCCCCCGTGCCTACATTGACATCTGCGGTGATGACGGTCCTGACGCCAGGGTTTGAGACGCCTGAAGCTCCGTTATTGTTCGTCGCAAACCCTTGGATAGATATAAACCCGGTCTGATTGGGCATGTACTTGCTGAGATAGACGTGCTCTGTGTCCCCAAGAGTAGTCTCGTATATGTTCAACTCTAGGCCAAGGTGCTTCGTGAACTTCTCGGCGTTCTGAGGTGTAACGTAATCCACAAGCAAGCGGGCCACCCTCCAGGTACTCGTACGACAATGTATAAGATAATTTAACCACAACGCCTTAAATCAATTGAAACTATGAGGAATCCTCTTCTTCAGAGGCAGATACAACTTTCTGACACGTACGAGCATTATGGCCGGGCTCGCCGCAGACGCCACATCGTCGCGCGCACGTTTCTGGCCTCCTCGTACGACTACTATTCTGACTCGTTTCCGCCCTTAACTGCTCCGTCGCGTCAATTTGAGCCTTCAAATCTTTTGCCTGATCAATTGTTAGGGACCCTCCTTTCTGTAGCTGTTTTCTTTTCGTACGACGACGGCGGCTAAGGCGGTCGTTTGTATCTCGAAGTTCGGCGAGGTCATGGCGCATAAGGGTCTGCTCGTGCACCATTATTGTGATTCCTTTATTAAGCTGCCGTAGGCTCTCAATAATGGACGACGGAGAGCTATTCTGGTGTCGTACGATGCGATTTTCAATATACTTCGTCTGCGATTCGGTCTCAATTAGGTTGTTCGGCGTCTTTGAAACCCATGGGGGTGGTAGTCCAGCAGAGGAACCTGGTGGTGTCGGCGTATGAAACTTCATATCTAGCTGCGAAATCACATAATTCGGGTCGTACGGTACTAGGCCTGTCGCTCTGAAGCCTGCCTGGATGTTTGATTTGGTCATTGCAGCGTCGTACGCCTTATAAAAGGCTGGGAGGAAGTCCTCCTTTGAAACGTGGGTTACGTGCGCCCGCATTAGACCTTCGATTTCTTTACCGTACGCCCGTTTCAGAGGTCCAAAACACCCAACATCGAGAGGCTGGAGCTTATACGACGAATGAGCAGGCATACAGAGCGTGACAATATTCTGTTCCTTGCAGTAGAGCTCGAAATCGACGGAATGGTGGCTCTCGTGGCCGTCGAGGATAAGGAGGCGGTGGGTACCCTTCGTACGACTCTTTGTATGGAAATCAAAGTGTTTTACCCATTCTAGGCCTCTCTCGTTCGTCGTCCAACCGTTTTCTGAAAGCGCGATTACCCAGTCGGCCGGTAGAGGGCTATTCGCGGTCCAGGAGTCGAGGTGGACCTTCCCGGCGAAGATAATGTATGGCGGGATTGAATAGCCGTACGACGCGATACCCTGGATTACTGTAACCCATTCCTGATTGCCTTGTTGTACGGCTCTTGGCCTCCCGCGTCGATCGGAGGTCGTAACGACAGTTTCGGCGGAGATCTTGCCCATCGCGAAGCCCGTTTCGTCGAAGTTATAGATATCGTCATCGTGGATCCCGTATTTCGCGATTATGTTTCGTACGAGCTCAAACCACGCGCGATACGCGTCCGGATCCTCGCAAAGGACCCTCTGGTAATCGATTCTTCGATTAAAACGCGTACGGAGCTCAGGTCGTCGTCGTACGAAGGTTGAGGCCCAGTTCGTTCCAACGCGTGGCGCGTCGCGTACGCGGAGGAGTCGATCCGCCATTTCTCGAACACCACTTAACCGCGGTGGAAACGAACGCGAATCTAGGTCGAGTACGTATCGTACGATACTCTCCTCTTCGTATGAGGTTAATTTCTGGCAGGGTGGTCGGGTGTCGTGTTTCGCAGCTCGGCCGTGGTATCGTTGCTGGAGTGTCGTACGAGATACATTATAGATCTGCGCAGCCTTTCGTACGCTTAATTTTGGGTCGGATTGGAGCGCATTTAACGCTAGAACCAAATCACTTTCAATTGATTGTCGTCCCATGATTGGAGGTGGAGAAAAAGGAGAAGGAAGTGAACCTCAATTAAATTGCAGTAAAGTGACCCGTTCACCCGTGTGACCCGCTCACCCGTGGATTACGTTAACTTATAAACGAAGAACCGTAGTAATTCCGATCTCCACTTTTTGTATTTCGCTATTTATAGAGAGAATAAATAATTTATTAACTAGGTATTCGTATAAGGTCTTTATTATCCTTATCGTTTACGATTAGTGAAATTCTTAACCTTATAGCTATAAAGATAAAAGAATTATTTAGCTATGAAAAAGCGGACTTAAAGCGGCGATAAGGAAGTGGCCCGCCTACTTGTGTGGCCCGCTCACTTGTGGATTACGTTACGCTTATTATTACCCCGGTCCGACGGGATGTCTATGGACTAGAAGTCATTTAATACTCCATTACAGTACTACAATTCAAAGACTGTTTGATCTAACACATGTCTTTTATATAATGTGAAGGGGGCTAGGGCGATCTAAACGTCGTATGGTACTTCTGCAGCAGGTCGTTGTAGCCCGCACAATGCTGTGAAGTACAAACAGGGACTTGGTATGTCCTCATCATCCCGGCTAGCCCATAGAGTGTCTGGAATAAAGAGCCTCAAGCTGAGATGGTACGCCCCCGTGTTACCAAACAGCTCCATTGCCAACGTCGTAGCATGATTTGTGACAGTCTAGTCGACTACGGCATGTTCCGCCCAGTATCTAGCAGCATACTCAGCCAATAGGTACCGGTGCGTGACTTCTTCGGTGTCAAGGTCGCCAGGGATGCTAAGCAGATATGCCAGACAAGTTTCTGCGATGACCAACCGGGCGCGCTGCTCCTGAAAGTTATTTGCATCTAGGCCCGACACCAGCCATTCCTTCACTGAGTAGTGAGATAGCTGGATATCTTCTGAACAGCTTCGACATCTCTGCTTCCCGAAATGACTCCCAGACTGGAACAGTACTGCGAGATCTCGTCCGGCGCAGGCATGCGATCTTCTGGGTCAAACCGCGGCTGTCGTTCAGGTTGAAGAAGCTGTGGATGCAATTGCTATGGATGGTTCTGAAAACCCTAGGAACTGTAAGATGTGCGTTGCGTATGGTCTGTTTTCTTGGGATTTCGTTCCATAATCCGGTTATATGTATCAGTCAAGGTCCCCGAGAGGGATTGCAACGCTTCCTTTAGCGCCCTGTATTGCAAACACTTGTTAATGCTATCGAGCTGGCATATTGCCCATCGAAACCTATAAGCGCGTTAGCACTGATGCCTGGCTGCATTGTGCCATGCTACTTGCGGACATTCGGCAAAGGGTAGGCGTTGGAAGGGCGGATAGGGTCGAGGACATAAATAGGAGGAATGATCCCCTCGAACCTTCTCTTCCTCTTCAAGCCCTCTCTGTCTATTTGGCTCTCGAAATTTCCCCATTATGCATCAGCAGCTTCAATTCCGGTCACCTTTCGACCGCACGGCATACCAACAGGCCAAAGCGAAAGGCAAAGGGAGTACAAAGCCCATCCACAGCAAACATGGCAATAAGCAAATCGACAACCGGAACCTCTGGTACCGTCACCATGAACGTCAGTAAGGAGTTCCCGCCTATCGAGACGCTTCTGCCGATGGACGTGGTCGACCTCACCGCAGAAGACGATTCCTTCGTACTGCTGCCGAACCGACTTCCCAGCCGGCCACGCAAGCCAGTGAGAGACAAGCCACCCAGGAACAGGTCACGCAGGAGCAGGCCACTCAGGAACGGGCCACACAGGGTCAGGTACCTCAGGAACAGGCCGCACAGGGGCAACCGACTCAGGGGCAGCCGACTCAGGGGTTGGCCACTCGGAAGCAGGCGCAGGCTACTCCGGAGGTTGAAGACGGCAATGATCAAGGTGTGCATTATGTTCCCTAGATCTTGATGATCGCTAATTTCATGTAGACAGAGAAACCGTCACTCATGAAGCCAGCGTCGAACACATCAAAGAGGATCCGCCGCAGCAAGGCCGCTCGCCAGAGGAGAGCGTGATGTTGGCGAACGGGGCAGGGGATAGCAGACAGCAGTCCGTCGAGTATGCTTTGACTCTTTCTCCAATATCCTCGGCGCAGTCATCCAATGGCGCGGCAGGCCTTTCCACGGATGCCACCTCCAACGCCCTGCCGACCGGCTGCTCGAACGCTTCCTCACAGGACGCGCCTGAACTCCCGCCCGACGAACCACCTCATCCCTGCGGACAAGCGGCCGACAGTCACGACTCGGCACGTTCGGACGGGGGCGTATCTCCCGACCTACCAATGGACGACGCGGACGACGACAGTACACTGCCCGACGAATGGGAGGGTAAAATTATCGGAGAAGAGGCTGACGGGTACTTGGTTGCTTGGAAAAGCAGCTTCATACCCAAGGAATTCGCCGGTGAAGCGATGATTCGGGCCTGGGAGGAACAGAAGGCGAAGATTCTGGCAGGGGGGGGAGAAAGGAAGGGTACCGGATTAAAGCAGCCAGCAACCATCAAGGGTCGGGTGGAGAAACGAGGAGCGGGAAAACGAGGTCGAGGTCGACAGGGTGTCTAACAGCTCATTCTCTGAGACGAATTCAGGTGTTCTCTGCTCCTATAGTTGGCTTGAGCTTGCTGGTTTTTGACGTAGTCACCTTATAAGAGTTGCCCGATCAAGACGTGCCCAGTTCTGGGAATCAATTGCCAAAGCCTGACACCTCGTCCCCACCGAGAATGCCTCTAGCCTTCGATTTGAAGGATCCCAACTATCATCACAAACTCCCAGATCATGAGCAACACTCATCGCCAGGTGGTATCGCAAGCATGTCCACCTCGATAGAGGCGAATGGCAGGGGGCGATGGAGCAGGAGAACCGGCCTATTAGCGGACTGTGATAGCTCGATTAGACAGAGCAAGTGTTCTGCCTCACGGGAGCGACAGCGCCTCACTCGGACTTGGCTGTTCTCGCCTCGCTGATGCGTTCCAGCCGATGTGACCGCTTCCCCGATCACTCCGTCCTTGCATGAAACGCCGAAGAAAGTCCCTTTCGCCTCTGCACTGCCATCCTGGAGTCAGGGGTTACATCACTTGCTCACGGGACCTATGCATCCTAGCCTACCTACCCTTAGGATGTGTGACGCCGAAGGAACAGGTGACGCGGGTGTGCGCCAGGACGCCGATAATTGGTCACACACGAGATCGGCTGGGTGTGCCTCTTTCCTGCACAGTAGTTTCCTCATCGAGAGGAATTTGCGAGTCGGCATTGCCTTCTCGATGCAGAAGATCTCCTGATTCATCCTTCCTTTGCCGTCGTTATGATCCTGCGCGGTACCCTCCCCGGTAAATCCTTACTCTTCAGCCTTTTCGCAAATATGTACCTCGCCGGAACCATTATCTTTGGCGGCGGCCCCGTCGTGATCCCGCTGCTGCGCGAGTATACCGTCGCCGAAGGGTGGCTGAGTACGCGCGACTTCCTTATCGGCCTGGCCATTGCGCAGGCCTTTCCCGGGCCGAACTTCAATTTCGCGGTGTACCTCGGTAGCCTGACGGCGATTAACGGCGGGTACTCCGGGGCTGCGGGCGCGGTAATTGGCTTCGTGGGTATGTTTGCGCCCGGGCTGATTACGATGCACGGGACGATAGGCGTGTGGAACGCGATCCGCGGCTGGAGATGGGTCAAGTCGTCGCTGCGCGGGATCAATGCTGCTGCTGTGGGACTGATCTATACCGCGGTCTACGGGCTCTGGCAGACGGGGTACATGGACGGGAGTTATCAACGGGGCACGAATCTGGGTCTGGATCCGTGGTGGGTTGTCGTCACGGCGGGGAGCTATGTTGGCGGGTACTGGTTCGGGGTCAGCCCACCCGTAGCGATCCTCGTGGGCGCGGTGATGGGGCTTGTTTGGTATGGCGTAGTGTCTGCATAGTGGAGAGTTCGTGGCGTGGTTCTGGTCTCTTTTGTTCTCGGTCGATTTCCAGCAATGATAGGGATACAGGCCAACCTTCACTCCTCTACTTGCATCATCCTAGGTCCCCACAATCTGGGCTCTAATCGAACGTGACGAGGAGCAGGTAACATTCGGAACGTATCCGTTCCAATCAGCTGACTAAACCTTTCAGCATGCCCTTGCAAGCATATAAACCGGACTTTTAGGTTCGACAGCACACTTCTTAAACTCTTTTTTTCCTACCATGGACGGCTGCCAATGATCACAACATTGAATCACTCATCCCATGCTCCTGCTAGCGCCCAACCGCATATCCCACATGCATCACATAGAATCAGTGTTTTCCATACATCTTGGTCAAATACAATATTGAGGGCGACCTATTGATTAATTCACATTGCACATATAGATAAGGAGAGGGCATATTACGCTAGCCTAAATCCAGATGTCAACTCTCAAACTCGAATCCTCAGTGCTGGTAGACAACACGGTCGAGGAGACCACATCAGAGCTCGTCAGGCTCTGTGTAGTAGAGATCGAAGTCACCTCTTGCGAAGAGCCTGTCGTATCGAGACACTCAGAGCTGTCCGCTGCCTCATAACTGCTTGGGATCTCAGAGCTCGCAGCCAATAGTCGGGTCCAGCGACACTCTGCGTTATGCGATATAAGTTGTGCGGGATATTGGTAAGTTCGAATAGAAGGAAGCTTGGCAAGTGATGGGCGATAAAAGGGTTCTGAAGAATCTCATTGCAAGTTAGCAGCTGAATGCCGACCAAACGAGGTCAGGAGCTGTCGAAGCAGAACATCACTTACCTCGATGGATACCGAACACATGAGTACCAGAGTGTGGTGGAGAATAGTGCCCAGATTGGGGTGAGCATCGACGAAGAGGGAGCTCATATGCCACGAGTAAAAGCCCACACAGAAGGCCGCAAGGACCGGCACTATTTTTCGCGCGCTCACTGCGTACCTCCTATGGTGGTTCTCGCCCTCGCCACCGAAGTCCGTACTCAGGTACCCGTCGATGCACACGACCGCGTCTTCGCCGGGTTTTCTCAATGCTTGCACCCCACGTTTGTAATGAGGGCCAGCTGTCATCGAGCTGTACCTCGCCCCAGACACCCGCGACCTTACCCTTTCGCTTCAGCTTCACCACCGACAAAGTAGTCGTACAACGAAAGGCCCCGAAGGAACCTGCCGCGGTGCGGATATGCCTGCGCTAAAGAGATCCTTTCTCCGCGTCTCGGGAAGCGGCACGGCTCGACACCCCCTTATTGCTAGAGGTATGCAGACGCCACGCATAACAGCACACCACCTTCCCTCGCAATTCCCAGAATCTCAGCGCGCTCAGTGGTCCGCATCCGAGTTGGCGACCCACAGTCTAATCAAGACCACGTCTCCCATTCTCACAGCCGACGCAAGTTTGCTGCCGCACTGCCAATAGGAACCTAACACGTCCGACATGATGTGATTATCTGGCACCCCCGTACCGGAGTTCCCCTCCCCCTCTCACCCCCGTGCCGGAGTTCCCCTCCCCCTCTCACCCCCGTGCCGGAGTTCCCCTCCCCCTCTCACCCCCGCTTCTATTATGCCTCGCAGACGCCGCCTCTCGACACCCAGTCGCGCATACGCACAAACTTTTGTCGAGGGGTCCGGGGGATAGGCCAAGCCCAGCTGGGTAAGCTGGCAGCCGCAATAAATCGAGAGGATCCCCTCAAGGATGGTGGTGCTGGGCTTTTTCCAGGACCTTAGCTTCCGTCCTTACATGTCCCAACTCTCAGGACTTTCGATTCCGTTTTCATCGACAACATGGACCCCGGTACCCTCGCCGCCATTACCGGGGGGCTGTTCGCTCTCCTGAGCAAATTCAATAACGCGCTCGAGGGGTATCTAGAGCAGCTGAAAAAGAAGCAGCAGGCCAAACAGATCCTGATGTCGCTCAAGGAGGAGTGCGACATCACACAGGTGATAGCCTCCAACATCAAAGACGCCATCGATAAGGTCTCCGGCCAGGGTTCCAGCGCTCAGAATAAACTAGTCAACGCAATCAGGCTCATGGCCCGGGAGCTTGGAGCGCTCGTCAAAAAGCTTACCACGACCATCGAAGACATCTTCAAGCTCGGAGATATCGGCAAGATTGGAAATGCGCTCGTACAAAGCGAGTCACTGTGCTTGGCTGAGCACGGGCCACAATTACATCCCAATGTCATTGTGGCCCGTGCGCGGGTCAGCGGCCTTGTGGGCCTTGGCGTGTTCCAGGCACCACTCCGTGACACAGGGCATCGCATCAGCGATATATAGCGAATTGTACCCGCATTAGATACTTCGCGCTTGAAGGGAGAGACACAACTCGCGAACAGGATGCTGCCTACCACAATGGATCTACCTCCTAGAGTCCCAGCAGGCAATTGCGTCGGAGGCACTTTGTCTTCAGTGCCATGGCTAAGGCTGCAGGATGAATTTACCAGCAGCGACAGCCTGGGGCGCACTCGAGGAGATTGAAGAAGCCAATGGCTCGGGACTAGGTCTCAGAGTACAGACAAGGCTCGACTCGCGTGCTTGAAGCACGCTCCGGTCCTCTCATGGACTACGTAGTAGGCAGTTGAGGGTAGAGTACCTCGATTTAAAGCGGTGTCCAATTGCTAGGTACAATGACTGGGCTGTTTAGACTGAATGGTTGGCAGAGACACAGAAGATGGTGCAACCTGGACCTTTCTTGGCAACTTAGAATTGCGCTGCTCTTCCGGTGTATATAGTAGATGGGAAGACAAGCGGCAACAGGGCAGATACATAGGCGTGGCCTACGCACAGCGAAAGAGCTCGCGGGGTCGTTACCGGAGTGTCAACTGAACCGCGCCAGAAGTCCAAAGGGGTTATCCGTCTTCGCGCTACCAATCATGTTATCTCCGTTCCCGCCGGTGTAATTGTTGTACGACATCCGGGCCGGGACACGATGGGGCCGATTCAACCGGCTAGTTGGCGAATCATAGTTCACATGAGCCGCCGTGCGCCAAAGTACCCCGCTCCTCCGGGCGGTATCCCGGTCGGCCAAGGAGTTATTTATATAGTTCAGCACAATTTTGCCCTCCTCTGCTTCCCTCAAAAGTGTAGTATAAAGATCTGGCTCATCCGTATGACTCTGGTTCTTGCAGCACGATAAAGCGACCACATTAATCCGACTTACTTGAGTATCTCCAAACATTGTCCTTAGCAAATATGGCGGACCGGTTGCAGCGATACCGTCGGTCGTATAATCCGGCTCGGGCACAGATACAGCCTATCGCTACTCAAGGCCTCGGGCCTTGCCGTGAGCCTTGTCAGTCTGCCATTGACGACTCCAGTGCACGAGCGGCGATATTAGCACTACTTCAGGCTGTAGCTCGCGCCCTTAACGAAGAAGAGAGGGTGGAAAAGAGGAATGTCAACCATCATGAACGTTCCGGCTTAGAGAGCCAGCCGGGCAAAGAGGCAGATGCTAGGCATAACATTCACTTTCTTGATCTACCGGAGGTTGTTTTCTTCCGTCCACAGCTGAGTGAGCACGGTATGGAGTAGCAACATTGTAGTCGGGAGAGTTTATAGCACTTAGGCGTCTTCCTCACGCGTCGACATGGTCACATCTAATATACCTCATCACAACTCAATTAAGATCTTGGACTTAGTAAGACGGTGTATAATACTATCTATAGTTGATCTTTGCGACCCGCGGTGTAATGAAAAGGTTCTCACACATAACTAACGGCTCGCCCCGCGGCCGGTAGATCAAATTTATTTCTCCCTTCGATAAGCTAGAACCTAGCAGATTGACACCGTCTGAATCATGGTAACTGTTGAGGCGATCGTTAAAGTAGCAAGATAGCTCGGTCTGGAAGAACCCGAACTGTCTGCGAAAAGGGGATTATCGCTAGAACCGGTAGCTCCTGCAATCTGGATGTTAGAGCTCTCACTACTACTTGCTGTTTGTGTAATGCCGAGGTCGCTGACGGTTTCACCGGGGGTTGCTGTTGCTTGTGTAGTTCCCGTTTCGCTGGCGGTCCCTTCAATAGGATCTACCACTGGAGGCGCACTTGTACTGCTAGAGGAAAGGCTTGTCTCGTCATCCGCCAATGTGCGTGTAAAAGTGATGGTTTGATGAGTGGTTTCTGTTGCGGTTAAAGTAGGCTTCGTTATAGTAGTCCACGTAGTTCTCGTACTGAGCTCCTCGGTAATGCAAGCAATACAACCATTATGTTGCGCCGCGAGGGCGAAATCGGGATCACCACCTGTAATTAGCACGCGATTGCAGCTGGCCTCCTGACCTGAGCATTGCCTGTGAAAAGTCAGCGGGGTCCCCGAAGCCGTAATGGACAGACTGCGCACCAAAGCAACCATGCTTCACCGTTTGGTACAGTGGGAGGCAATTTGAAGCTTGCCAACTCCTGTCCGGAGCACGGCTTCGAGGCATGGAAGGCCCAGGACGTGGGCAGGAATCCTTCCTCTGAGAACTCAAGAGTAGCCAGGCATTGTGCCACCCGGTTCGAGTTAAGGCTGTAGGCAGATTAGTGATGATTTTAGGGTACGAATCTCGTCATCGGGGCCACGAACAGAGCTGAGATAGTCGAGTTTCCCGCAGTAAGATTAAAGGGCGGGCTGGACAAGCAATTAGATGGGAGGGTGCTTATGGATTGGCCGACCGTGATGAGCGACAACAGAATGATGAAAAGCCTTGCCATATTCTTATATAATGCGTTGTCGTCACGAGATGATCTGTAAAGGTTGGAATTGTTTACCAGACAACTCAATCGAGCTACTTCGGTGGCCGTGCTACTCTTTATACAGCCGATGCGTCGAAAATAGCGGGGCAGAACTATGAGTTTTCGACCACGTCTATTCCAACAGACCCCTGACCGTACCTGCCGAAGACCGGAATCTGACGCTCAAATTAGCCCCGTGCGCCTTCTTAAATCATCAGCCACCCGCACCCTAGCATAGTAGGTCTAACCACTGTCATGCATAATTATCAAGTTATGAGCTATGAGTAACAAGTCGCTCCCGAAAACCCCACTGCAGCTCGCTCCAGCGCCGTTATCTGAGCGCCGCATGTTGACACTTGCGGAGCGAGCATGCAGCCTTTCGGAGCGAAACAAAGAGCTGGTCAAGAACATAGAAGAGGCAAAGGCTAGAATCCGCAAGGGCGATAGAGAGATTCGGCGACTGCGGGGTATTATTACTAGGCTTGCAGTACAACTACATGATACCTTTCAAGAATTTGAGAATGGTAGTAGTAGCAAAACAGACCCGAAGCACCGCCAGACCGACCATAGTCAAGTTTGTAGCGAGTGGAGTGACTAGAGAATAGTTAAATATAGGTGCATGGCCCTTTATATACTGCTTATTGGCACGCGGATAGCGCATCGGAACTTGTAGTACAATTACAACCTGGATCTAAATAATGCCTGAAGCTATGGCCTCTCCAGGCCCGGAAAGAAATGCACTCGCTTTTGACTCCCTCTAGACTCCCTCTCTGCAATTTCTTGATTGGCTTTTGCAATTCTTAGACTCCTGAGCAGCTGGTGTGCGATCCTGTCACGCTCTGTAGAGTTTGAGCGCTGCTCCTTCTCTCTGTCGGCAAGTTCTCGAGCTGGCTCCATCACAACTCGATAGTTCGTGATCTTGTAGGATTTGTTTGATGGGGTCGTTCGCCGTTGGGGTAGGGTAGCTCTGTGCCTGCTAACTGGGTAATAAGGCACATCAGACCCATGCGAGGGCACCTGGCAATAATAGCATCCCATTTTGTAAGGAACGCAGTAGGAAGACAGTTGCTCGCGGGAATCAAGGTTATCTAACCTCCCGGCGATCTTCTCAGTCCACAAGAAGAGATCCTTATAGAAAGCCTTGGCCAGGTCTAATTCAGACAATGGGAAGAGATAGTCGAAAATAACTTCGATATACATAGATCATGGTACTATTAAGGCAGCCCCACCTACCAATACTATTTAACGAGCCGACTCTCAGAGCGATGGAAAGGAGCTAGCCGCGCGCAAAGCATGGTGGGCGGCTCCAAAAGCTTACCCTAGCTTTTCCACGTTGTAAATAGCAGCCCGTCTAGACTTACGGAACATATAATGGAGTCCTGCTTACCCACGCTCCAGATTTCCACCTGCATATCGTGACGGAAATGGTACACTATAGCT